AATACTATTGAAATCTAAAATTTCTGCAGTAAATATGCATTTGACTGTGCCTGCTGATTCCGGATTATGTCCAAGTCCCTTATTGCTATCCCAGGTTTAAGCCTTGATAGAAAATTGTTCTGGATATTATCAAAACTTGATTCGAGTTTCAGTTTCCCAAAAGACAAAAATAGACGTAATTTTTTTTTTAGATGTACTTTTGTCGAATATGGCCCATCCTATTTCTTAGAATGATTACAAAACAGTAAACCTGTTAATTCGGAATTTCAAATTTCATTAAAAAAGACACTAAGCATTGGCGTGATGTTATTGAAAGAATTATCTATGCCATTCAGTTTTTAGCGAAATAAAACTTAGCCTTCCGTGGTTCCAGTAACAAATTATTCAAAAGATATAATAATTTTCTGAGGTATATAGAAATTATCACAAAATTTGATGCTATCCGTATATATTAATAAAATGCAAACTAAAAAAAATATGCTTCATTACCTTGGAAATAAAATAATAAGCTTATTAGGGGATAATATAAAAGAAAATTATTTTACATATAAATAAATATAATATAAAGCAAATTATTTTAAATAAAGTCAAACTGGCAAAACATTTTTCTATTTTATTTAATTGTACCTATAATGTGAGCCATCAAAAGCAGATATCAATTTGTATGAGGTATCTTAATTTAGAAAATACAGACATAAGTATTGAAGAAAGGTTTTTAGTATTTTGTATTACAACAGATATGGCCGGTTGACGACAAACTACATTCTTATTAAAAACCTTAGAGGAAAATGGTTTAGATATTAGTAATTTATGTGGCCAAGAATAGAACAATGGTTCAAACATGAGAGGTAAACAGTTTTCGAGTAATTATGCTTAAATCATTGCTTTTCTGAATTAAAAAGTTAAACTAAGCTTAACATAATATGTAACTGCACTTACCTTTTTTTTTTTTTTTTTTTTTTTTTTTTTTATGTAGGAAAACAATAACGGCAAGTAATCACAAAAAAAAAAAAAAAAAAAAAAAAAAAAAAAAAAAAAAAATGTTGCACAAGTTACTACTATTGCAACAGTAGACACAAAATAAGGATTAAGCAATTTGTCGAATGCGTCTACCCTTACATATGCATCGGCATCAAGTATTTCCACTTTCAAATTCACCACCAAAGACGAATTCTTGTCCTGGTTATAACTTTCAGTCAAATAAGACAATGTGATAGGAGGAAAGGGCACTCAGACCTGGTAAGGTTGAGGCTGCCTTAACACAGTTAAATGTCCCAACCCCTAGAGGCGATCCAAGAGGCCACAAACCTATCGGTCGAGCCAACGAGCTAAGCTGAGTTGACAAAAATACTCAGAAACTCACATTCCACATCTCCGTTCTGGAGAGATGGTTAAAAACATATGCCATCAACAAGGGTCTCAAACCCAGACAGCAGAATGAAGTCACTTAAACACTGTCAGAAAGACCGGGCCACAAATCCGGCCTGCTAACACTACGTCATACTATACAGATCTGGGGCTTTAGGCGACCCCAGTGAAAAATCAAGGAAGGAAATGAATATGCAGTTTTGAGGCTCCAGGCGATAATTGGAAACTTCAAGCAGTTTAATGGCTAGCTGAATTCGCCAACAGCATTGACAGGGCTTTTTTATCTCGGACAAGCATGAATATCTGACTATATAGCTCCACCACAACCAACGGAACGGGCAGGACAGTACCACACGGTCCCTGCCGAACCTGAATAAACCATCGCTAGCGATGACTCCAGTCCTGTGGAGACTGACTTTAAACACTCATGGCCGAGACTGCCTAGGTACAGATTCTTCAGTAGCTTCCCAGATTTTACCTGAGTCGACCCTCAGAGAAGCATTCAAATAAGACAAAAATTTTCCTGTTCAGGCAGGCAGTGAGAGGATGATTAAACGGCGCCTTTTTGACTCGCCGCCAACGTGCACTGCATGACCTTGCACCTATTGTCGGCGCGGGCCTGTATGCAGGCACCAAATTTTGAATAAACAAAGTTCTGCACTCTAATATGTGCAAGTCAAAACCTTGTTTTTATATCTTTTTTGTATTCTGTGCAAACTTTATAAATTTTTTAATAATAAACTGAGCAGTTTAAAAACATTGTGTTGCCACTGCTCAAAATAAAATAAGTATGATCTTTTATGCCCCAGTGTGGTACCATTTCTCAAAGTGTATGATATTTGATCTGTCTATTATTAAAAAATTAAGCAGTTTTAAGAAAAATATATTTAATTCATGATATGTCTGATAACTTTTATTTCCAGTAGGATTATCACTGGTATATCACTGATACAGAATACTTAAAAAAAATTTATGGTCTTTTACATTTTTTTAAAAGATAAATTCTTTGATAATAATAGGTGTTAAGCTGTAATCTGAAGATTTTAGTTGCAACTGTGTTGCCTAGCTGGATTGATGCTACTAATTTTTGCAGAAATTTTTCAGTCTCCATGTTTATTATGTCAATTTCTCATTCTTCAGCATTCATGTTATTCAGAAATGTTTATTCTGTCTAGGCTATGCTATAAATTGTGATTTTAATTTTAAAGGCTTTTTTTATCTTCGTGATTTTCTTTACAAATTCTGCAGGTGTCACTGCATAAATAGGGAGTAAAAAGGAACTTTACTACAGAAATAATATATATTAGGATTACCACAAAACAATTATTGTGTACCCTGTAATTGAATTTTTTGGTGAAAACAAATGAAAAACAATTGGTATTTGAGGTAACATAGTACTGCCAATAGTGAAAAATAGAATAACACAACCAAAACAAAATATAGCTGAAAAGATCTCAAAGAAAAAAATATGCTAACCCATATCTAATTTTTAAATAATAAAATGCTTTTATGCTCTTTATTTTATTTACAAATCAAGTAAACATTAACACTTATGCTATATGTCATAAAAGATTATTAATCTGCATCTAATAATTTATATTTGCATACTGGCATTTCCTGAAGCTATTATTATTTTGTCTATTTGTGAAATTTAATATCCCAAATACATTTTTTAAAGAGTGTAAAGTAATAAAAACTTCCCATTAAAATTATGGTATACATTCTCCTTTTTTCAGTATTTTAAAAGTACATTAAAAATTACTGTTGAAAAATTTAATTTTTTAAAATCATTTTATATGATGTAAAATTGCAGATAGCCTTGCTTTTATTCAAACATAGAAAAAAATCCCTTTAAACCATGTATTCTGTAACCATGCAAATTACTTTTTAAAGTAAAATGCTGTTGCAAAATGTTAGTTCAACATATGGCTAGAATGGAACCTCTTAACATTTGACAATACTATTTAGTATTTTCTGTTATATTTTCCCCCTTTTGCTTCAAACTATCTTTTCATAATGATAAGAAAGTGAGTAATTTATAAATTATTCTTAGGTTAGATTTGGTATATTTTAGTTTTCATATGAAAGAAAGTTAATATCCTTTCAAACTATTTGTATTTGTTATATCCTTGTCATATTGTATTTTAGTATTACTAATGCAGAACTTATTAAATTTTGTAAATGAATACATGCACTCTCATTTATTTCAATATTTCTTGTATACAAAAACAAGTTAAATTACTTGTCTAGACAGTATTTTAGAGATCACAAACAAAAGCACTGACAGTATTCTGTTAATTTTTTTGCTTCATCATGATGAACAAATAACATAAAAATAAGTTCATTTTAAGTAATCTGTCATTTTCAGGTAAAGTGGTTTCCCCTGCCTCATTATAAATAACTGTTTTGAATGTAGTTTATTTTAATGAATGGGGTTGAGTCAATTTTGCTATGATTTCAAATGCATTTAATTTACATAATTATTATTTGTAAAATTATAAAGATAAAAAAATTGAAATTTAAGACTGTATCATTCACATAAATTATGATTAAGCAAAGTAGAATATTAGTGCATTGCATATATGTTTTTAGATAACTATTAAAATAAATTTGATATCTAAATATAAAATACAAATATTTAAGCAAACCATACTTTTTAAATGATATACAATTATTTTAAAATGCTTCTGTTATCTAAATTAATGCCCACAATGATAGATCAAATTATTGTTACCTTCAAGGAATGTTTAAAATGTATCATTGGCTTACTGTTGCACTCTCATTTTTTGCAAAAATTTCCTTGCTGTTGACAAAGGCACTTCATAGTGCAAACTAATAATTCAAACTTATGAAAAACTGAATTTAATGTATTTTAAATTTACTCTTTTTTATGTTTTTGGGGAAATAAAAAAAAATTATAGGTATAAGAATTATATTATTAACTGATAACTAAATAACTAATTAACTTTTAATGACAAACTAAATTATGTATAAACACAAAAAATACAGTTAAAATATAAAGGAATATTGTTGAAAATAGAGTGTCTTAAAATGATGGATCGATATTTTGCAAGAGAAACTGGTATGAAAAATAACCTTTTGTAAATAGTTGAAATGTATTCTCCTTTGCATTTGACATACATATCATTAATCATTGACAGAGGGTTAAATGAAATATCTATTGTCATGAAGTTTTTTATTATTGCATAGTGAATGACTAACCAGCACTACAAATATATTCAATAATAGCAGATTGCACAAGCTAGTATGTGCAATAATAAATAGCAAGTATATACAATAATTAATAATAATAGCTGTGATATAGTCTAGTAAAAATGTTATAATTTTGTATATAATAGATATAACAGAATTCTTTTACACTTAAATTCCACATTTTATAAAATAGCATTACAGATTTAATTCATAGGATGTTACATATTAGCAGAAATGCAAATGAAGTAGGTCATAATTTAAAATAGTAGAAAAAAATTTAAATAATTTTATTGCACTTATAATAAGTTTCTTTTTGTATAAATTTTTTTTTTTTTTAAATTTTTAAGATGTATTGAATTTATTGTTTTGAAAAACGTTTTGTTTTAATCATTGAATAATAATGGGAAATCATATTTCAGATATTAGATTTAGCAAAAAGAGGGCATTATCAAATAGCTTGTACTCGTTATTTTGAATTAACACACCAAGAAGCCAGTGTTGATCAAGGTATAAGCCATCCAAATCAATATTTTGAAGAGAGTCAGAAAATAAGAAAGGGAATAACCAAAGACCAAAAAAGTAAGTTGTTATTTCAAACAATGAAAATTAGAATAACTCTTGTACTTTAAAAAAAAAAAAAAAAAAAAAAAAAAGTTTCAAGCTTATTTTCTTTTTTCTGGTAGGATCAACTCCAAGTTATAATAGCACCCAATCCTCAGTCTCTAATACAAGTCAAGCATCTTCTAAAAAAAATGATGCAGTGGCTGATGAAGATGTTTTTAATGACATGGAAAATATGGATGAACTTTTACACTGTTTGGAGGGTGTATAAATATATATATATATAGTGTATATTTCATTTTTAATTTATAGGTATTTTATTTCAATAAAAACACCTAATTTTTTAATCTAAAATTAGGATTGCAGTAAAGCTGTATATGTAATAAATATTTTTTTTTTAAATTTTGATTAACCATTTGTTTATAATTTAGTCAATTGTTGTCTTTATATCCTTATTGCAGTAATAGAAAGTTCTGAACAAAAAAACACTTTTAAATAGAGGATTTTTTTTTTTTAACTTCATAGGAGAAAAGGAACTTTATATATCTAAAGCACAAGCTGGTTATTATTTTTAAAAAATGTTTTCATAATTTGATGCATGTACAATGGATTCTTTCATAGCAGAAACTTTTGAAAGATCTTTCAGCAATCAAACATTCATATAATTCAATAATTATAATAGACAACAAATACTCCCTAATTTGCTAAAACCAATACATACACATTAAAGTGACCACTTTAACTTAGCTATTAAATTATTTTAAAATATGAAACTAGAGAGCTAGATTTTGCAATTTTTAATATGTTAACATTTTCATGAGAAACAAGTCAGTCAGTCATTTCTAAACTATTAATTTTATCCTCTCTCAATATTATTTGCTGTATATATATTTGATTTGATAGTTACGATACAGCACTGTTTAAATTATTCATCACAACCCAAAATGTGTTATTTTATCACATCCCATTTGTGCAGCTGGTGTCAAATGCTATTCATTCCTTTTTTTAACATTATTGTAATCAACCATATTTGACAGTTTACAGGGTTACCACTCAAACAGCAGAGTGAAATTACCTGGCTTTTCCAGGTATGTTCCAAGAAAATTCCAGGCTATTCACATAGTGTGCGTTGGCTGTCCTGAGGGTAAATTAATTATTGTGCCACTTGAAAACACAAAAATTTGCAAATTACATATGTTTGTACATATATATATATATATATATATAATCCTTAAAGTATTACTTTTATAAATATAAATAGGAGTTGTTTTCTCTACCAAGGACTGAGATTAGAATCTGCCCAATCAGTATTAAAAAATGCCTTTTCTACAGGCATTTTGCAACTAAAGAAAGAAAGAGATCTATTTAATGATAATTTTAAATAAATTCAAGTTTCATGATGGTATGTCATCTTATTGCTAGAATTAGTTTTACAAGTAAGCCACAGAAAATTGCCGGAAATTTGAAAGTATCACTAACAATAAATAAATGTAGAAGGAAGAAACATTAAATGATACGAATAACATTAGAATAAAGTTAACTACTTGAGGATTAAAAACTGAATTGCAAAAGTTGACAGCATTTGGGCGAATATAGATATATTAAATAATTAGCCTAGATCAGCGGTTCTCAATCTTTTGACTACTGCGTACCATCTAAACAAAAACTGAACCACCACTACATTTTGCAATGATTATTTTTCAATTTCTCAATAGAAATATTTAATATATATATAGCCATTTGCACAACTTATTGTCTCTTTGTATTAAATATGCTCACATAAAAAAACTATTAGATTAAAAATTGATTACCGTTTTAATTATCAAAATTTCAGTTATAATACTTCAATTCTAAAATTTAGGGTGAAATTTTGGCATGTTTAAGAGAGATCAATTTCTTTATGCCTGGTCTTATTTCATTTGGCTTTAATGGTAAATTAGGATTCACTTTTAATTTTGGCCTGTATTTATATTTCAAATAAACCTTGGAAAAAATCCTTGTTCACACGAACAGGTTGTGCAAAAAGGCAATACAAATTTATTTGAAATGCCTTCGAATTCTTTTTTTTTTTTTTTTTTTTTTTTTCGGTTCAGCCAAAAGTTACAAGTGTGTCATTTTCGAAATCTTCAATTTGATCACAGGAAATTTCTATCAATTGTCCTTTTTCTTTAAGAGATTTTTGAATTTAATATTTAAAAATACTTTATTTCTTTGCGTACCATCGGTTGAGAACCGCTGGCCTAGATGATGGATTATTATTTTTTAAATAAATTTTACTGCAAAATGACAAATAAGGCACTTAAGAAAGAAAAAAAGGTTTAAAAGATTTTGTTCTACATGAGAATGGAGGAATTTACTTTCGTTTAACATTTGCATGCAAATCTCTAGATTCTCAAGGTTACTGAAAACCAAAGATCCTGAAAACTTGCTTTGCTATTCTAAAAGACAATCTGATTGGCACTGCAAAAATTGGCTCTACACTAGCTGTCCTAATGACGCTCATGCAATACATGATTTGCCAAGAAAGTGATCGCTTCCAATGTTGGCGCAAAATTTGTTTTTATGGGGATTGCCATATGAAATTCTCAGATTTTTCCAGATATTGACTAAAATATTTTAACTCCCTGACCTTTTTGGTCAGTTTTCGAATTCCTTGACTTTTCCAGTTAGCATGGCAGCCCTGAAATTAGCATATGCAGGCATGTTTAAAGATTGACCACATTCTTGAAATATTTGTCAATGCCTCTAATTTAAAAGAAGAAATTCTGGCAGCAGAAGAGCGTCAGAAGTTTCAAGCGTTCTCTTGATTGAAACCTTTAAATTTGTAAAAACAATTATGCTGTAATTTGCACCAAAAAATTAATTTATAGAAATTAAATGCAGACAGTGTTTTCGAAGTTCTAACAAATTTCGAACTTTTCGAACAAATTTTATAAAGTAAGATTTTGGTAGTTTTTCTGTTTTATCAGTAAGATCTGTAACTTTTCTGACCACTTCCAGCACAAATTGTTCAACATTTGCAATTACTGGCAGTAACCGTAGACTCTGATGTCTAAGTGCCTGAATTTAGTATATAAAATATACTTTTAAAGTTAATGCTACTTAAATGTAAATTTTTGGCTGTTAGATTAATTAGTCAATCAACATAATATCTAAAGCAGTATTTCCCAATCTTTTCACTCTTATGTAACCCTTGGGACAATGTTCAATTTCTAAAGAATACCAGTGGCCATGTAATTTAATATTTTTTCATAATACTTTTTATTAATGATTATTAATATAAACAAAAATTATGCTCATTTCAGTTGTTTATTTCAAAACAAACAATAATAATGCAATATCATGCATTGATATGGTAAATATAATTAGATACAAATAAATAATAAATTTCTTTAGTATAACAAATATTTATGGCACATCTGCATCTGTTTTTTGGAACATAAATGTTGAAATCTGGGTCTGATTTTCAATATACATAAACAGAAATCATCTTTCACATTTTTTCATTTGCCACTGCAAAGGTCCAACTACTACTCTTTTGAAACCATTCTTTTAGAGCAGTGTTTCTTAACCTTTCTAGCGAGTCGCACCCCATTGAATCTGAAAATATATCTCCGCACCCCATTGAAAAATGTGTTTTAATTTTTTTAGTCTAGAAAAATACATTTTTTGCAAAACTTATTGTTTATTGAAAAACATTGTACATTTTATATAAATACAAAACAATATTATTTTTATTAATGACTAGTCTGTTGTTTGTTCATTATTATACTGGCGAAGCGAGGTTCCTTTTTTGAAAGACATACGCGTAAGTCATCACTTGCATTTAAGCGATTTCTCGCTTTAGTTTTTATATGAAAAAGCGATGAAATGAAAATCCCATTTCGCACAAGTAGGTGGTAGCAAAGGGTAAGAGTAACTGCAGTGCTCCGTTCCCCAACTCTGGATAACTTTGTAACTGTGAACACCAGAATTGTTGCAATTCTAATTGTTCGAATTCCATTTGAACATGTCCACTTGCTCGCATTTCAATAAGTTGATCGTTTTTCAGATCACTATCAAATTTAAGTCAAATAGAAATGGATCCAGTATCTATCTCTGAGTTTTGGTAATATTTCCGGTAGAAAAATATTTATTGAATAATTCGCTCAATCGTCTCAAATGTATTACAATGTCGGGTATGATTGTACTCGTATTCTTTTCATTTTTCGTAATAACAGAATCAAGCAAGGGAAAGTTTGCAAAATTCCCCTTTTCTACTCGACGTATCCAAATTTCTAATTTTGCGATAAATGAAGATAATTTTTCACTAGATAATATTATATTTATACCAAATCCTTGCATTGATAGATTCAATTCATTTAAATGGCCAAATATGTCTGCTAAGTAGGCCTCAGCATTGCATCATTACTCTCAAAATCTTTTACTAAATAACAGTTTTGACTAGTCAGTAATTGAAAAATTTCCTCACGCAATTCAAAAACTCTGTTAAGCATGCAACCTTTAGATAACCATTGTATTTCGGTGTGATATAGGAGCACGGTATGATCAGCACCGATTTCTTCGCAAAATGCGATGATTACGTGCTCGCCCTCGGATTTATTTTACTACATTTACTGCTGTAAGCTGTAGTTAGATGTTGTTTTTAACTTTCTGGCAATGCTTTTGACGCAAGTGCATGACGATGCAACATGCAATGCGTTATTATAACTTCCGGTAATTCTCTTTTCATGTGTGAAAAAAATCCTGATTTTTTGTCTAACATTGCTGGGGCTCCATCAGTGCATATTGAGCCAATCACATTCATTGGTAATTGATATTTAGTAAAAAAAAATCTCTGATGCGATTGAAAACATCAATTCCTCTCGTATTCACCTCCAGTGGCTCACAAAATAGAAATTCTTCTATCACCTCTTTTTCCTTCACATACCTGACAAATACCAAAAGTTGGCTACAATTATCAACATCAGTTGACTCATCCAGTTGCATGCTTATTTTTAGTGGACTGATTTTTATGTCTTCAATTACTTGCATTAAAATATCTTCACTGAGATCTTGTATTCGCGATCGTATAATATCATTCGATAATGGAATCTGTTGGATTATTTTATGTGCTTCTGAATCTAAAACTGTTTTAGCAATAATTAAAGCAGAAGGTTTAATCAACTCTTCAGCGATCGTGTGAGGTTTCTTTTTTTGTTTTTGCACATAAATATGCCACTTGATATGACGCTTCTAATAAAGGATTTTTGAATTACTGGTCCGCAGAATTTTAGGATAGTTCCAGTGGTATCAAACCGAGCCTTCTTTGACTTCAAGCTGTTCATGCTATGTGCTTTTTCGCCATCATGCAG